CGTGACTGGAGTCACACACGGACGGTCTCGTGGCATGGTTTTCCCCCAACACCACAAAGATCCATTTGCGATGGGAGCACTTTTCGAACCTGTGAGTATTATTCAGTGTATAATCTAAGCTTTGGAAATAATTGTTTTCTCTTGCTTGGTAAACAAACCACCCCCCAAAGCACTTGCCACCCCATCTGCCCAACACGACCTCGGGCTGTATCAGTAGATGAGAAACTCCTACAACCCTAGTGGGCTGGTCTCCTGCTGCCCGGCTCAGGTCAGATGGAATTATTCACAGAAGAGAAGGACTGCGTTGCTGAAGAATTCAAAATCAAGTCATAAGAAGGGCTTTTCAAGCTTTTTCATTCCAGCCCTAACCAGAGCCCCATCTTGTTTCTCAGCTCTCTTTCCTCCATGACTCAAACTCCTCGTCTCGCTCTTCCCTGTTCTGACACAGACGGACAAAGGCCGTGCTCTCTGCCGAGGCACTTGCCAGATATAGTCTGCACGTGGGAGGATTCCCTCCCAAAGAGGTGCAGGATGACAGTCTGACGAAAGGATTCTCTGCCCCACCCCCACCCCGCAACTTTCTCTCTGTCCTTCATATCCCACATTGTGACATAAGAATGCACTTCCTTCCAGGACAGGCGGCAGCCTCTGGTCACCAAGTCTATTAGCCCCTCAGGCCCAGGTCCCGCCCAAGTGCAGGCTTTCCTCGTGTTTCCATCCGGCTAAGGGAGTCCACTGTTTCGGGGCCACGTGTTCAAACACACCCTATTGCAGGGAAAGGGGGAACCGTGGATTCAGAAAGACAGGAGAGTTATTTGCAGTTTGGAGGGACTGACATGAAAATGGATTAGATATTTGCAAGAGCTGGGAACTGGGAAGTTACGAGGGACACAGGAGAGACTTCAGTTCCATCTAAGGAACAACTTTGAGCTCATGTTCATCTCTCCTGCAGTGAGTTTTGTGCAAATGGGTTAGCGACTTAAAGCTATTCAAGGAAATGAGTTCAATCAAGGCAGCACCTCTAAAAATATACCAGGTGCTCTTAAGAAGGTAGTATGTTCACTTCTCACCAGTAATAGTTGCAGAAAAGATAAAAGGCGCTTCGGTGGGCTGCGGGATCGAATGGCCCTCAGATAACTTTAAAATTCTCTTCAAAGCCCGTCTCTTCCCAAGCCTGAACATCTCTGAAGGCTCAATAATCAAATTTCAGTGAAATTTAGCCTGAACAGTCTTCCCAAAGTAATTTTTTTAAAAGCTGCCTGGTTCCAAATTCAAAGAGGAAACATTTCTCAATTATTGACAAAAAGGAGCCAATTTCCATCTTCTGGTGTGTCTCTGGCATTCCTGGGATTTTCAGAAAGCTGTGGGAAATGGAAGAACCATAGAGTCGCTCTCTGCTGAGACCATTTAGAGGCTACGCTCTGTTAAGAGAGCAGAAAGTTTTATTCTATCTGGATATACTGTGAAACAGAAATAGGGTGGGGGGGGAGGGAGGCAGGGAATGTGGAAAAGATTTTACCTCAAGGAAAAATAAGCAACACAGAATTGTTGTCAAAATAATTCTCCCATTTTATTGAGCAGGATGAGTCTGCATGTACACAGGTTGCTTCTGAACACAGTGCAAAATATTCATATCCATCTTCATTTCCGTCTAACAATTACTATGTAAATTTGGACATAGGTAATGAACAGGTGTTACAGGAGAACATGGATACACTTGATCTGATTTGGTGTAACTGTGGAATTAGCTGACTTCCTTTCTGTATTTGTGGAGGCTTGTTAGGTGGCCACGAGCACAGTGCGTCCACATCTTCGCTGCAATCAGGACAGACACTCACAAAACAAGTGCTCGTGTGTGATAGAAATAACACGCTGATCACGACAAACAGTCACTCCTTGATGGGGCTATTAACTTACAAACACACGTCCACACCTAGAAACCGCCTTTTACACTGCTATTATACAATGTTATCTATTCTCTTTCTATCTAACGTGTGACATCAAATGTCTTGCTGGAGTTCAAGAAAATGCACAGGGTCACAGAAGCATTGCTCTCTTAGCAGAACTGAAAAGGGCTACATAGGACCCGTCGTGACTCTGTGGAAAGATTCACAGTCTTTCAGAGGGGCAACGTCCCCTCAGTGTTACAGACAAATTGCAAATGGTTTTACTAAGACACTGTTGGACTCTGTGGTTTGTTGATGAGTCCAGTAAGATGTCATATGCAAAATTCCTTTCTGTGAAAATATTTTTTACTTAAAGAATACAGATTCCACAGAATCTCAAATATTTACTAACAGTTCTGAGAAAAGTATTTGCCATTGATTTCACAGGCAAAAAAAAAACAAACCATACACAGGGTTTAGGCACCATGAGCCTGAGTCTTTTGGGACATCACTAAATTAATATTTTTACATTTATAGAGTAACTGGTCCAATTACAAGTGAATTTGTCCAGTCGGATCTCTGAATTGGTGGGTCAGTGAAAGCGATGGATACAGAGGGGAAACACCCCGTTTGGGGGATGGGAGGCCCCAATTAAATACCGTCTCCATTCACGGAGCAGCAATCGAAGTCCCTTACAGCCTGAAATTTTCCTCTCGCAGCAAAATGGCAGTGTCTGCTCATTAGAACAACATGGCAATGTATTGGTTAAATATTTTCTGCAACACCTACACTTTGGTTAAAACTGTCCTATTTACAAATCAGCAAATACGTCACGGGGCTCACAGCATGCCTACCAGATACAAATATACAAAGTTATGGCAAGCTTTTGGCAAGGCTCCTCCGAATAACAGGCAATTTTGCTGCCAAAAAGAGAGAGATGAAAACACAGGCCATCCATTGTAAAGGAGCCAAGCACAGGAGGAGGCACTATTTGAAAAGCACAGAAAACTATGTGTTCCAAGAGGGAATCACAAACATAAAAATAAAATATTTGGTAATCTACACTATATTACAAAAATAAATATATCCATCAATAAATAGTAGGAAGCCAAGAAAGTTTTCCACGAATCTTTTGGTTGTTGGCTGCCGAAGTCCCTCTGCTATCTTTCTCCTCGAGAGTCATTGAGGTTTATCAACTTCAGGGATGATAAATCTGCCATAAAAGTGGGGAAAAGACTGGCGTGGGATAACAGCAAAGGTCTATGGCCAGAAAAGACATTAGGGAGTTCTACCATCTTAAGGATCTGACGCCTTCCTGCCTTCTATTGATGCAGGGATGCAGAGGACTTGTAAGCAGGCTTCAGGAGGCCTGGGGGAGCTGCCAGAACTCTTTTACTTACGGTTTGTGTGTTTTCATTTTTTTGATGAGAAGAAAGAAAGAAAAAAAATGCAACAAGCCACATTGGAGTAACCAGTATGCGGCTTTCTGCACTCTCTTTCCACAGGGCTGAAGGAAATCGTAGAGGAGCGTGTTTACATCTGCCCTGCAGTAAAAGGAGAAGCATCTGGAATATGCAGCCTGATCGCCAACAGCCTAGATTGTCACATGTCTTTAACGGAAGAGTGATTCTAAGTGCTCACCACACGGCTTCTCCAGGAGCCTGGCAGAGCCGGCAGAGGGCATGAGGAAGGCAGGGCCTGGTGCATCGCACTGTCCATTGTTCTATCAGCATCCGAACGGCAGCGGGACGCAAGAGCCAGCGCACATGGTCCCCGAGAGCCACTGTTAAGTTTTCAGGAATTTCACAAGCCAGTTGACATCATATCGGTAACTGGAAATGGGCTATGGAGGAAGTATTTACACCATTGAAATCCACAAATCAGAGCTATTCCCCGCCCTCCCACCCCCTCCCCGCCTCCATTGCTGGTTACAAAGCCTTTACCAGCGTACCAGTGTTTTATGTATTTTACATATAAAGAAATTTTTGCTTGATGTTTATCTAACTAGAACAATTCCCTTCAACAAAGGTTTTACTGTGTGTCTGTCACAGCGTCCTGTAGAAAGGATAAGAGGTACCGTAGTGCATATGAGTGAACAGTATGCACCACGGATGTGAAGGCTGCACCCCATCCCGCTGAGAGCGCTATGTGAAGCCAGTAACATTCACACACATACACACAAGCACATCCTTTTCTATGGTGCTTATTCCATAACTGAATGATTCTGAGTTGCATGGCTAGCTCGAATTGTCAATCACTCGATACCCACTGATGGCCAAAATACCACTCTTCTAGGGGCAATGAATTCTCCAAGACTCGCCCTCTGGACACCAGCAGACAATGGATGTCTAGGGCTGTGGTCCAAATTGGGCAAAATGTCCTTCAGAATAGTTTTCCTTGCCTCTGTTTTTTAGTGCATTATGAGTACGTGACCCCAAGAGCTTTGTGAAAGGAAGGCTGATGGTTTCCCAGAGGGGGAAAAAAAAGTGCAAGGCTTCTTAAAGAAACTTTCAATGGGGATAAGGAGGACACAATGTACGGGAAACCACATTCCTGGTTCTAGCTTGGACCGTTCATGTTGTCTGTCAGGACAGTCTGAGAACTGCTCTGCTCTGGTTCTCCCCCCACCACGCCTGTGATCCTGAGTGGGGGCAACCGAGACCGACCGGAGCCAGAGTCCTTCCAAAGGGCCAACTGCCAGGCAGGCGCCCCGGACCACTCCCATCAGGAACACGTCCCAGTCCCTTAGTCCTGGCCACTTCCCAACTGGAAGGACTGCAGAGTGGGAAGGACGGGAAGGCTACAGGATTTCTACCACGGCGCCAACCTGATTTCAAAATTCAGGCTTAGCTTTCCGGTCATTTGCTTGTGTGTCTATTTATTGATTCATTTTGAGTAGATTCATTTTGATGCCGGCTTTCTTTCTCTTACATTTAAGTATTCTTCAGGAACGAAACACTTTCTAAAGGATATTAGCAAATAAGCTAAATAAAATATTAGGGGGAAATCCAGAAATTAGAGCACTAGCTCCTTTGATCCTAAGAGAAAATGCTGTCAGTTGTCCCCTTCCAGCTCACAGTAGGTGCCGCGAAGGCCAGGGAAGGCAGGGGACACAGGAATGGGAGAAGGGCATAAGGCCCTGCGGCAAAAAAGAGAGAAGGAGGGCAAAGGTGGAAATAAACAGGAGCAGAGGTTCAGAGGCAAGGGAGACACATGAGGAATTGAAGAAAAATACAAGAAGTGGATTGTCCAACAAACAGGTCCCTTCTGATTTTCCTCTTCTTGGTCTTTGGTAACTTTATTTTGTCCAAGATATTTAACTCTCCACTTAGAACTGCTTACTATTTTGCAAAACATATCCTAGGATAGCATCTCTACCCTTTGCCCCTCTGCCCCTACGAGCCTCCTCCCACCGCTGGTACCCTCTGCAGCCATAAAGGCCAACACACGTGGCCTTGCTTTCCTACCGCTTCAGAAACGGATGTCACCCTGAAGTCCCTTCTCTTTTCCTTCCTTGACCAGGCACTGCCCTCCACAGCACATGGGTCCCCTGTGGGTTCATCCTTTTGCTGTTGTCCCTTAAGGTCACGGCCTCTTGAAGCCATTTGGTTTCTGTATCAAATAACCCCTCCCCTCGAACATGCAGCCTGCTTTCCCCAGGCCCTGCTGCTGTGAGTGATGGTAAAACCCAACCGACAAAAGTGACACCTACGTTTCCAATAGTATTTAGGAAATGGAGGGCTTCCTGGAATGATGAACTTCCTGGCGCCAGTTACCTTGATGGAACTGCTACTCAGAGAAGAGCGGACCGAGAACATACCACTGGCTTTCAACACATGCACATTTGATACAGCCATGCATGTGTGTGAGTAGAATCTGCCTCTCTGGAAACGAAAGGGTTTTATAAGTTTATCTCTGTACACATATACATACACATTATCTGCCTCTTGACACCGTATTTCTGCTTAGGGGTGTTTCTTTCAAACTGACATAGAGAACAAGGAGTGTGGGCTTGCCGCTCGCTGTTAGAGAGGGTGTTGCCAGGAGATGGCAAGTCCAAAGGAAAACAGATTGGAAGGGACTAGACTGTAAATTATGTGATTTCCTGAACAAACCGATCTGTCAAAATTCCCTAAGGCAGCAAGCCCCTATGATCTGTACACCCTTCTTAAATAATCTCATTAAATAGGAACACAAAATATACACATTTACAGTTATTAAATAAGCCACAGGATTCCTCTCCTATCTACAGCCACACTCGGAGACGGCCATGCCTTCATACTTGAACTTGTAAGTGACGACGCCTTTGTCTAGATAGAGGATGGAGATGGGCTCCAGTTTGGTGGGCACACAGCAGGCTTTGGAAGCCTTCTGGGAATTCTTGAGGTGGACCAAGGCCTGGATAATTGCGTGTTTTGTCGGGGTGAGATGCTCTGCCAGGGGGTAGTTGCAAACACCACGGCATTCGTAGGCTTCATATCCAGGCGGGGCGATGATCCAAGAGTCCCAGCCAATTTCCTTGAAGTCGATGTAGAGCGGGGTCCTCTTGCAGTAGTTTCCCTTAGCGTTCCTCCTGATGCGGGCAGTGGAGTCGTAGATGATGTTGGACCTCATCTGCAGCAGAGCCTCTTCCCCGGGTCCGCTGGAATAGCCGTCCAGGCCCAGGTGGTCCAGCTCCGGGAGTTGCTCGTGGGCGATCATTTCACTCAGTTCCTCCTTCCGCTCCTTCTCGCTGCTCTGGTCGTCGGAAAACACGACAAGCAAAGGGACGTGCTTATTCCGGGCACTGGTGTCTATTTCCAGTTGTCCCCTGCCGGCATCCTCCATTTCATCATGCCTGCTCTCTATGTGGACCTCCAGCTGGTGGAGGGATGAGCCTGACTTTTGCCAACGTCTGATGGCATCGGTGACATCAAAAGTCTCCCACTCACTGTTGGTTCCATAGATCTCCCCTGACACCAAGACCAGCATGCTTCGTTCGCCCTCATTTTCCCCTTTGCTCTCTAGTACTTCAAAAATGGTAATTTTCCGGTCCACTCCATCATATATCATGCGATCTCTTTGCACCAGGGTGTACAACCTGAGTTCGGCCATGATGACCTCTTCATGGTGCGGGATGGACACATTGAAGAAGAGAGGGTATTTTCGGAGCCCATTAAAACTAGCTGGTTGGGAAAACAGATCTGGAAAAAATAATAATAAAAGACAGAAATCAGATTTGCAAGATGTTGCAGAGAAAAACAGATGCATATTTATGCAATAAAAAGTTCTGTTCATACAGGAGGCTTGATACAGAGAGAATGAGGTTAGATCAATGAAAACAAACACAGGGCTAGCACTCTCTAACAGAAAATACTGAAGGTCAGTGGTGGAACACCAGACGGAGTTAAGCTGCCAAGACTAAGATGGAAAATGGCCGCCTAACGAGTGAGAGGAAACACACCCAGCCTTGCTTGCGTAACTTATCAGCCACAGAATTGGAAAGCTGGGATGGACCTTGGAGATTTTGCAGGCAAGCCCCCAATCCTCCTAACCAATAAGGAGCTATCAAATGAAGCATGTGATGGTGATTCTTTTCTTGAAGCTCTTCAGGGATGAGGATTTCATGGCTTTTCATATTAGCATTTGTAATGGATGGAGACCCTCACACAGTTGGGGAATTCCTGGAAAACAGGCATCTGAACCACAGGTTAGCAAACTATAGCCCATGGGCCAGATCAGGCCTGCCACCCATTTTGGGAAATGAAGTGGAACTGCATTGTGTCTGTGGTTACTACAATGGTGAGGTTTGGTAGTCTCAACGGGAATCATACGGCCCACAAAGCCTAAAATATTTACTCTCTCTCTCTGGCCTTTTACAGAAAAAGCTTGCTGACCCCTGCTCTAGACACCAAAGCCTGACAAGGTCAACAAGATAGCCATGGAGCGAAGGGGATCACAGCAGCTGAATTTGGGGGTGAGTGGTCCTCCATAAGGGGAAATGGGGAAAATGAATTTTGTGGATAGATCGGGTGCCTGAGTCATGTACCCTGAGCATGTATATGGAAGCGTAGTGTATAGGAACCACTCAGAATGTTTACGAGATACAAATTTAAAGGTCCTTTGTCTTAGAAGCACACTTCCAAATATTATTGTGTTGGCTTCCCATCTGAGAATTTTTAGGCATGCAGAGTTCCTGTACACTTGCCCCAGGTAACACGTGTCGACAAGGTATCCCTGAAGGCATTTGTCATCAATCAGAGGGTTCCGCGACACCAGAGATACTAAGGACCACCAGTTGAGGGGCTCTGCATCATCTTTGGCAACATTTTCTCTGCTGTGTACCCAATTCATGATATCATGGGATCCATGTTCCAGATTGTACTCTTTAATATTTTTCTTGAACTTGATCTGATTATTTTAATACTTACGACCTCTTTTAGGATTGTCCTAAGCAATAGTGTCCATGAAATAAGGAGTTTGAGGTACTAGTTATGTGACTTTTTCTCCAATCCACATTAACAAAAATATATAGTGATGTCATATGATTCATAGTTTCCTCTGAGCACCACCTAAAATCATCTCATACACTTCCAGTGAGAAACACAGGTCAATGGCATGAATTTAAGCTCTCTAGCGTGGCTCTCAAAACTAGCTATAAACCAGGTCTTAACCCCTTGATCATGTCATAGCCCCCATTCATCCTCTACAGTGTGAGAACATTGCAATTGATCAATTAATATTTGTGGAAAGGTTAAGCAAATCTTTTAAGCAAAGATTAAACATATTGTCCTATTTAAAGTAGACTGCCATCTTCCCCACTTGCCAAAACATTCCTTTGCTTTACTGTATAGTGTACCCTCAGATATGTTCTTCTGACCCTTGGAAAGTCCTACCCCCTCATCTTGACCTATCTAACTGTGACCCTTCCCTAGGAGACCCTCCCTTCCTCACCATTCTACCTGGAGGTTTACTCCCTTCTGGGTAACTTGAGTACTTACTCTCTACACCTCTCCCAAGACCTTGCCATTTCTGTTCTTTTGCAGTTGTCCTTTTATGAATGGACCTTCCCAACTAGACTGTCATCCTACTGGCAGGTACCACAGCTTAAACTCCCTTCTATGCTTCCAATCTACCACGGTGCTTTAAACAGAGGTAGTGCTTTAACAATATTGATTAGTTGAAGATTCAGAGCATCTAGACCAAATTGATTTATGGGCATGACATATGTCCTTCATACAGCAAGTAATTTGGTAGTTTTCCCCCCTTATAGGGATGGAGGAAGCTTGACTCCCCATGGACAGGAAACATGAGAAGACCAAAAATAAAGGAGTAGACTGGTTGGTCCATCCATTAGAAAAAAACGCACAATGAAAGTGCACTACAGTGGGAGAACAAGTTTATAAAATAGCACAAGGAAACTTTTGGTGGTGATGAATATATTCACTATCTTGATTGGGGTGATGGTTTTAATGGATGTTTACATGTGTCAAAATCTATCAGATTATGCACTTAAATCTCTGCAGTTTGTTGTATGTCAATTAGACCTCATAACGCTGATAAAAAAAAGTTCACTGTGTGTATACAAATATAATACTAGATGGAGGTGTTCCATTTCAGGAATTGGAACGAGTATCTGTTGAGCAAATTTCATGTTCGAGGTGCTTTGCAAATATTGTTTTGCTTAGCTCTTCCAATGACCCTACAATACAGATAGCACTTCTTCTGTTCATCTTATTCCAAAAAAAAAAAAAAAAATCAAGCCTCAGTACAGAGAACTGACTTTCCCAGGAAGACAAAGTGAGGTCAAAGCAGTGGTAGGAAATGAAGTCATGCTTTTCCCACCTTGGAGGTGGCACTTGATTTCCCCTGATTAGTTAGATTTGAGGAGGCTTTTTCTGTTTGGTTGGTCTTTGCCTCCTAGGAAGCTGCACGGAGCAAAAGCAAAGAATGAAAGGGCCCACTAACAACCAACGGAGCGAGCCCAGCGGAGGATTCAAGACTTTTCAGTTGTGCATTTCCAGCCACAGACTGGCGGAGGTGCGGCCACCTAAGTTGTCCACAAAGAGGTCTGCTCCTGCCTCCGCTGATCTTCAGAAATAAGAAGCTCTGAAAACCCCACTTCCTGACCTGGACCATCCAAATTCTCCACAGGAGAAGTGAAAACTGAAAAACTCCTATTCTTCCCCAGAGATGCAAACATTTTCCCCACCCACACCCTGAGCCAGCCACCCAGGGCTCAGTGCTCAGAAACATTAGGAAGGCTTCCCATGGAAGGAGGTTGTTTATTTTCAATTCAGACTCGCCCCCAAAAGACATCTGTAATTTCAGCTTTCTGTTTCCATTATGTTGCTAAAAGTTCTTAAGCAACTTTCCAACACGTTACTAAATATTTGAAATTTGGGCTGTCACCTAAATTTTAAAGGCAAAAAGTGTCTCCAGGACTGAGCCATACCTACTCAACATTCCTCCAATGCCTAGAATTTAAAGACTTCGTTAGTAATAATTAATATTTGTTCATTTGTTGAACACTTCGTAGCAATCAGACAACTTTCTAACAGGTAACCTCTTTGAAATTGGGTATATTATTCCCAGTTTACAGATAAGGAAATCGAGGTTGGGAGAAATAAGCTAATTATCCACACCAGCTAAGTCAACTCTGTCTCAAAGACCCAAATCCTGAGCTATTGTGGTTTT